AAAAGGCAGATTTGTTTTAAAAATAAAAATCGGACAACGCCATTTCGAAAGTTCTATTTTGAACATATTTAATGCGGAACTGTTGTTCATCATACCATTAAACTTGGATTTTATAACATTGTATTTATATCTTTATAAATAAATTTAGCCAGTACTGCGGTAAGTTTCAATATTTTAAGAATTAAAATATCTTCAAAAATTTGACAGTTCTAGAAAATTTGAAATCCATGTAATATGGAAACGGAATTTTTAGGACAGCGAAGATCCATTAAATCTCGTCAAAGCTTTCAATATTGGAGAAACAAAGGTAGAAATCTTTTAAAAATAGTAATCGAGCAACACGGGTTTCAAAAAATATTTATTTTGAACATATTTCATGCGAAACTGATGTTCATAGCACCGTCAAATTTGGCTTTTATAATATTGTATTTATATCTCAATAAATAAATTTCACCAGTACTATGACAAAAATTTCATTATTTTGAGGATCAAATTATCTTCAGAATTTTGACAATTTTTGAAAATTTTAAAGCTATATAGCACGGACACAGGATTTTTATGACAGTCATAAACTTATAAAATATGACAAAAACTTGCAATATTGGAGAAACAAAGGCAAATTTGTTCTAAAAATGATAGTCAGAAAACGCCACTTCGAAAATATTTATATTGAACATATTTAACGCGAAATTGTTGTTCATCATACCATTAAACTTAGCTTTAATAGCATTGTATTTATATCTCTATAGATAAATTTCGCCAGTACTGTGATAAGTTTCAATATTTTAAGAATTAAAATTTCTTCAAAATTTTGACAATTCTAGAAAATTTGAAATCCATGTATTGTAGTAACGGGATTTTTATGACAACAAAGAATCATAAAATCTCACAAAAGCTTTCAATATTGGAGAAACTAAAGCAGATATGTTTTAAAAATAGGAATCGGGCAACATCACTTCCAAAAAAATATTTATTTTGAACATATTTCATGCGAAACTGCTGTTTATAATATCATCAAATTTGGCTTTTATAATATTGTATTTATATCTCAATAAATAAATTTCAATAGTACTATTTCAAAAGTTTCATTATTTTGAGGATTAAATTATCTTCAGAATTTTGACAATTTTAGAAAATTTGAATGCTATATAACACGGATAGAGGATTTTTATTACAGTCATAAACTTATAAAATATGACAAAAACTTACAATATTAGAGAAACAAAGGTAAATTTGTTTTAAAATTAAAAATCAGGAAACGCCACTTCGAAAATATTTATTTTGAACATATTTAACGCGAAACTGTTTTTCATCATACCATTAAACCTAGTTTTTATAACATTGTATTTATATCTATATAGATAAATTTCGCCAGTACTGTGATAAGTTTCAATATTTTAAGAATTAAAATATCTACAGAATTTTGACAATCCTTGAAAATTTGAAATCCGTGTAATATAGTAATGTGATTTTTATGACAACAAAGATTCATAAAATCTCACAAAAGCTTTCAATATTGGATAAACTAAAGCCGATATGTTTTAAAAATAGGAATCGTACAACATCACTTCCAAAAAATTATTTGTTTTGAACATTTTTAATGCGAAACTGAGGTTCATAATACAGTCAAATTTGGCTTTTATAATATTGTGTTTACATCTCTATAAATAAATTTCACCAGTACTATGATAAAAGTTTCATTATTTTGAGGATTAAATTATCTTCAGAATTTTGACAATTTTAGAAAATTTGAAAGCTATATATAACACGGACACAGGATTTTTATGACAGTCATAAACTTATGAAATATGACAAAAACTTGCAATATTGGAGAAACAAAGGCAAATTTGTTCTAAAAATGATAGTCAGAAAACGCCACTTCGAAAATATTTATATTGAACATATTTAACGCGAAATTGTTGTTCATCATACCATTAAACTTAGCTTTAATAGCATTGTATCTCTATAGATAAATTTTGCCAGTACTGTGATAATTTTCAATACTTTAAGAATTAAAATTTCTTCAAAATTTTGACAATTCTAGAAAATTTGAAATCCATGTATTGTAGTAACGGGATTTTTATGACAACAAAGAATCATAAAATCTCACAAAAGCTTTCAATATTGGAGAAACTAAAGCAGATATGTTTTAAAAATAGGAATCGGGCAACATCACTTCCAAAAAAATATTTATTTTGAACATATTTCATGCGAAACTGATGTTTATAATATCATCAAATTTGGCTTTTATAATATTGTATCTATATCTCAATAAATAAATTTCAACAGTACTATGTTAAAAGTTTCATTGTTTTGAGGATTATATTATCTTCAGAATTTTGACAATTTTGGAAAATTTAAAAGCTATATAACACGGACACAGGATTTTTATAACAGTCATAAACTTATCAAAGATGACAAAAACTTGCAATATTGCAGAAACAAAGGCAAATTTGTTCTAAATATAAAAATCGGAAAATGCTACTTCGAAAACATTTATTTTGGACATATTGAATGCGAAACTGTTGTTCATCATACCATTAAACTTAGCTTCAGAATTTTGACAATCCTTGAAAATTTTAAATCCATGTAATATAGTGACGAGATTTTTATGACAACAAAGATTCATAAAATCTCACAAAAGCTTTCAATATTGGAGAAACTAAAGCAGATATGTTTTAAAAATAGGAATCGGACAACATCACTTCCAGAAAATTATTTGTTTTGAACATTTTTAATGCGACACTGATGTTCATAATACAGTAAAATTTGGCATTTATAATATTGTATTTATATCTCTATAAATAAATTCCACCAGTACTATGACAAGAGTTTCATTATTTTGAGGATTAAATTTTCTTTAGAATTTTGACAATTTTAGAAAATTTGAAAGCTATATAACACGGACACAGGATTTTTATAACAGTCATAAACTTATAAAATATGACAAAAACTTCCAATATTGGAGAAACAAAGACAAATTTGTTCTAAAAATAAAAATCAGAAAACGCCACTTCGAAAATATGTATTTTGAACATATTTAATGCGAAACTGTTGTTCATCATACCATTAAACTTAGCTGTTATAACATTGTATTTATTTCTCTATAGATAAATTTCGCCAGTACTGTGATAAGTTTCAACATTTTAAGAATTAAAATATCTTCAGAATTTTGACAATTCTTGAAAATTTGAAATCCATGTAATAGAGTAAGGTGATTTTTATGACAATAAAGATTCATAAAATCTCACAAAATCTTTCAATATTGGAGAAACTAAAGCAGATTATGTTTTAAAAATAGGAATCGGACAACATCACTTCCATAAAATTATTTGTTTTGAACATTTTTAATGCGACACTGATGTTCATAATACAGTCAAATTTGGCTTTTATAATATTGTATTTATATCTCTATAAATAAATTTCACCAGTACTATGACAAAAGTTTCATTATTTTGAGGATTAAATTATCTTCAGAATTTTGACAATTTTAGAAAATTTGAAAGCTATATAACACGGACACAGGATTTTTAAGACAGTCATAAACTTATAAAATATGACAAAAACTTGCAATATTGGAGAAACGAAGGCAAGTTTGTTCTAAAAATAAAAATCAGAAAACGCCACTTTGAAAAGATTTATTTTGAACATATTTAATGCGAAGCTGTTGTTTATAATACCATCAAATTGGCTTTTATAATATTGTATTTATATCTCTATAAACAAATTTCGTCAGTAGGTATTATTGTAAAAGTGTTAATATTCTGAGAATTAAATTATCTTAAGAATTTTGACGATTCTAGAAAATTTGGAAAAGTTGTAAAATGGAAAGACAGCTATAAACTCATAAAATCTGACAAACCTTTTCAATACCAGAGAAACATTTATAATTGCAGTTTAAATATTTTGAACTGTCGGTTTAAGATTTAATTAGCGCCATCACAACATCAATATTTTGAGCGTTTAGTGTTGGAATTTAAAATTCATTTACATTGTTTAATCGTAAATATTTATTTACTCAATAAACCAACTATTTACTCCCACCGAAAATTAATTGAAGATGCGTTTAATCCAGTTATTCCTGCGCTTATCCATCCTTAACGAATCAATACCCCTAAAAAATCTCCAACTCTATCCTCAACAACATGGCGTCACCTAAATAAGGAGAGCACATCGTGGCAAGCAGCATCTATAGGATAATCCGTGCATAAACGTACTAATACCCGAAGTGTCAACCCATAATACGGTAAACGGTAAACAGTAGTCAGGATTGGTAGAGAGGAGATCTGCGCGAGCATCCTCCCTTCCGGGCCCCCCTCTCAGTAACGGCTTTTATACCTATTCGCTGTTTTGCTCTATTGTTGCAATAATAAATGATTTCTGTACTCCGGGATAGTCTGAAATAACGCTTCTAAATGGGATATATTTTCTCCTGAAAGCATTGCAAAGTGTTTTTAATACATTTTAGTAAATGGACTTTATTGTATACCAACACTCGCGCAAAATCTTATACAAATCATAATATCTCGGTTAGAGATTGCACCGGAGGAACATTTCCGGGAGATGAATTGGCGGAGGCTGGAAGGATTAGTCCGGGAAACGCAGTTCTTACAGAATTTGCTGCAACGTAATTTAAGCAGATGTTTAATCGAGTTATATGCTCGACCTGGAAATGGTTATTTATATATTTTTCGAAGTTTTTTTTTTGTAATTAGCAGAATTTTGAAGAAGCAGATTTAGCGAAATGAGATTTAGCAATACGTTTTTGTAAAAATATTGATGGGTGAAAACAATGCAGAAAACTACTTAAAAAAATGCCGTTATTATTAACACTAAGACTTTATAATCTTTAATTAAATAAGTAAACAAAATGTTAAGGTCATGGTTCAGATAACATGGAACTTCCACACATACAAAATATTTCCTAACGATAATAATAACAAAAAACCAACAACAACAAATAATGCTTAATCTTACACATTTCTCCACGTAACAGTACCCCGAAAACACCAACTGGAAAATCTGCGCCAATTAAGCCACACTTGCTCTAACGGCACTTCCTGCCCCATTTAAAAGTAATGTTATGCCGTTTCACGCTAAAAAGATACGAAAATTGCCACATCCGCTACGACAAAATTTAACTCCAGCACGCAGACCTCTCTTCAGTTCATTCTCGGTCTTCAAAATCACCATGACTCACCCCAGTGTGCTCCTTCTTCTATTTCTAGTCGTACCCCAAACCCCAAAAATTCAAGCCAACAACATCATCGACGTCGACGACATCCTCGCCGAGGACTTCATGCCCGGAACCATCCTCATGCTCGAAAACCCGAAAACCGAGAATTTAAACGACAGCGTCGGTGTCAGTTCACAGGAGGGCGATGGGAGTTTTATGACAGCCATGGAAACCATGGGTTTCCACAGGTATAAATTGTTAATTAGGGTTGCTGGGTTTTGGTTAAAAGTTAAAAGCTCGTAGGTCGATGATGAACGAATATTTGTGTCGGAGTTACATCGCTGAGGAAATCATTCACGATATGACGTTGTCGAGGATAAAAAGGAGGATGGGGGTGGGTGCTCCTGGGATACAGATGAGGACTTCGAAGGATCAGGAGTCCGTGAAAAATCAACTTCTGGCGGATGAAGGGTCCTCAAACTATAAAGACTGGTTATCGAAGTGAGAATAACTTGTATCAATACATATTTTTTATTAGTACTATTTCGTTTGTAGAAGCACTACCTTAGAAGATATCTACCGCCACTATGACAACGTCAACAACAGGGTGGACGAAGAAACTGATAAAGAAGGTGACTTCAATGAAGACTACGATGCTCAAATAGCAGGTTATAGCTACCAACAACAACAACAACAGCAACAACAGCAGCAGCATCATCAACGTGGACCACAACAAATGACTCCGGCTAAACTAGGTCATGGTGGTGGCGATGGAGGGATGTACTTTTCGGGTGGTGGCGGCGGCTACCCATACTCCCATGGAAGCCCCCATGGTGGCGGCGGGTACTCTTACAGCGACATGGCCGTCCATGGTGGCCACCCAGAACCCGAGCACGTCATCCAGGAGCAACCAAAGTACCATATCATCCATGAAGAGAGCCACAGCGAAAAAGAGCACGACCTTTCCGACTTGTTCGAGATCGCTCTAACAGCTCTGGCTTATCTATCGTTCGGGATGTTCATAATACACGTAATTATGTGTATTTCGATGGCTGTAAGTACCGTTATTTTAGTAGAGATGGAGTGTGGTACCCAAAAGTTCCGTTTAGAGTAACCCAACTACGACTGCAACGGCCATGATGATGCCCATGAGCATGAGCCCGACATCAACTGGTATGACTGGGGGTGGTATGACGGGCACTGGTGGTGGTACCAGCACAGGTGGCGGGACCATGCCTGGTACCGGAACTGGTGGCGGCGACACCATGCCCGGTACCGGCACTGGTGGGGAGACCATGCCCGACACTGGAGACGGGGGTACGGGGGATGGAGGTGGTACCACGAGCACGGGAGACGGAGGCGGTGCTACAGGGGATGGTGGCACAGGGGATGGAGGTGGAACCACGGGTACGGGAGACGGAGGAGACGGCGGCACAGGGGACGGCGGTGGTGCCACGGGAACAGGGGATGGAGGCGGTGCCACGGGTACGGGAGACGGAGGAGACGGCGGCACAGGGGATGGCGGTGGTGCCACGGGTACGGGAGACGGAGGAGATGGCGGCACAGGGGACGGCGGTGACACGGGTGGTGGCGGCGACGCAGACGGAGAGTCTACAGGCGGTGGTTCCACAGGTACTGCTACAGGAACGGCGACAGGTACAGGGTCGGGGACGTCTCCGACAGGGACAGCTACCGGTACCGGAGATGGTGGTGATGGTACTGGAGGGACTGGACCCACGAGTACTGCGCGGGATACCATCAAGTTTCGGTACAGGAGAGATATACCGACGATCACGAATCCGCACAATCAGGCCCTGAATGAGTTGGCTAGGAGGATTTTGGCGTCGATTGAGGCTGCCTTTATTGCGAATGAGGATGATGGGAACTGTCTGAGGCAGACTCTTTGTGAAAATAATAAATATTCTAGGAGTGTTGAGGGGAATAATAAGATTCTTATTCCCGTGTGGAGGTATGTAAATTAATTTGGCAGTCTAAGCTTAGTTACGGAAAATTTGATTGGTTTTTAATTTTGAATTGAGTTAAAAATTTTAATTTAATACTTTCGTATCGATTTTTCTAAAATGTTGCACCGTGGCCATCAACACCCTATATTTTTGGAATTAGCAAGGCGGGACCTACATCCCTGAATTTTTTCAGAATTTTTAGACGACTTTTTTAAAAGTGAAATTTTTCCTATGGTTCCCCCTTCTTCAAATTTCGGCCAAATTTTGACATTTTCGAAACTCAACTAAATACATTTTCTAGTGGATTTCGAGCTCAAAAATTCATTTCCGGTCTCGTTTCTTTGATACCTGCAACCGTTTTTCCAGAATCGCCCGTTGAAATATCGAAATTTTTAGAAATCTTCAAAAATTCGTTTTCCTACCGATTCTAGCGAAAATTTTGCTCCGTGACCCTAAACATTACATATTTTTGGAATCAGCAAGTCGGGATCTACATCCCAGAATTTTTTCAGAATTTTTAGAAGACTTTTTTAAAAGTGAAATTTTCCCAATGGTCCCCCCTTCTTCAAATTTCGGTAAAATGTTGACATTTTCGAAACTCAACTAAATACATTTTCTAGTAGATTTCGAGCTTTAGAATTCATTTCCGGTCCCGATTCTTTGATATGTGCAACCGTTTTTCCAGAACCGCCCTTTGAAATATCGAAATTTTTAGAAATCTTTAAAAATTCGCTTTTCCTACCGATTCTAGCAAAAATTTTGCCCCGTGACCCTAAACATTATATATTTTTGGAATCAGCAAGTCGGGATCTACATCCCTGAATTTTTTCAGAATTTTTAGACGACTTTTTTTAAAGTGAAATTTTTCCGATGGTCCCCCCTTCTTCAAATTTCGGTAAAATGTTGACATTTTCGAAACTCAACTAAATACATTTTCTAGTAGATTTCGAGCTCTAGAATTCATTTCCGGTCCCGATTCTTTGATATGTGCAACCGTTTTTCCAGAACCGCCCTTTGAAATATCGAAATTTTTAAGAAATCTTCGAAAATTCGCTTTTCCTACCGATTCTAGCGAAAATTTTGCTCCGTGACCCTAAACATTATATATTTTTGGAATCAGCAAGTCGGGATCTACATCCCTGAATTTTTTCAGAATTTTTTGACGACTTTTTTTAAAGTGAAATTTTTCCAATGGTCCCCCCTTCTTCAAATATCGGCCAATTTTTTACATTTTCGAATCTTAAATAAACACATTTTCTAATAGATTTCGAGCTCTAGAATTCATTTCCGGTCCCGATTCTTTGATATGTGCAACCGTTTTTCCAGAACCGCCCTTTGAAATATCGAAATTTTTAGAAATCTTCAAAAATTCGCTTTTCCTACCAATTCTAGCGAAAATTTTGCCCCGTGACCCTAAACATTATATATTTTTGGATTCAGCAAGTCGGGATCTACATCCCTGAATTTTTTCAGAATTTTTAGACTACTTCTTTTAAAGTGAAATTTTTCCAATGATCCCCCCTTCTTCAAATTTCGGTCAAATTTTGACATTTTCGAAACTCAACTAAATACATTTTCTAGTAGATTTCGAGCTCTAGAATTCATTTCCGGTCCCGATTATTTGATATGTGCAACCGTTTTTCCAGAACCGCCCTTTGAAATATCGAAATTTTTAGAAATCTTTAAAAATTCGCTTTTCCTACCGATTCTAGCAAAAATTTTGCCCCGTGACCCTAAACATTATATATTTTTGGAATCAGCAAGTCGGGATCTACATCCCTGAATTTTTTCAGAATTTTTAGAAGACTTTTTTAAAAGTGAAATTTTTCCAATGGTCCCCACTTCTTCAAATTTCGGTCAAATTTTGACATTTTCGAAACTCAACTAAATACATTTTCTAGTAGATTTCGAGCTCTAGAATTCATTTCCGGTCCCGATTCTTTGATATGTGCAACCGTTTTTCCAGAATCGCCCGTTGAAATATCGAAATTTTTAGAAATCTTCAAAAATTCGCTTTTCCTACCGATTCAAGCGAAAATTTTGCTCCGTGACCCTAAACATTCGACATTTTTGGAATCAGCAAGTCGGGATCTACATCCCTGAATTTTTTCAGAATTTTTTGACGACTTTTTTTAAAGTGAAATTTTTCCAATGGTCCCCCCTTCTTCAAATATCGGCCAATTTTTTACATTTTCGAATCTTAAATAAACACATTTTCTAATAGATTTCGAGCTCTAGAATTCATTTCCGGTCCCGATTCTTTGATATGTGCAACCGTTTTTCCAGAACCGCCCTTTGAAATATCGAAATTTTTAGAAATCTTCAAAAATTTGCTTTTCCTACCAATTCTAGCGAAAATTTTGCCCCGTGACCCTAAACATTATATATTTTTGGATTCAGCAAGTCGGGATCTACATCCCTAAATTTTTTCAGAATTTTTAGACGACTTTTTTTAAAGTGAAAATTTTCCAATGGTCCCCCCTTCTTCAAATTTCGGTCAAATTTTGACATTTTCGAAACTCAACTAAATACATTTTCTAGTAGATTTCGAGCTCTAGAATTCATTTCCGTTCCCGATTTTTTGATATGTGCAACCGTTTTTCCAGAATCGCCCTTTGAAATATCGAAATTTTTAGAAATCTTCAAAAATTCGTTTTCCTACCGATTCTAGCGAAAATTTTGCTCCGTGACCCTAAACATTATATATTTTTGGATTCAGCAAGTCGGGATCTACATCCCTGAATTTTTTCAGAATTTTTAGACGACTTTTTTTAAAGTGAAATTTTTCCAATGGTTCCCCCTTCTTCAAATTTCGGTCAAATTTTGACATTTTCGAAACTCAACTAAATACATTTTCTAGTAGATTTCGAGCTCTAGAATTCATTTCCGGTCTCGTTTCTTTGATATCTGCAACCGTTTTTCCAGAATCGCTCTTTGAAATATCGAAATTTTTAGAAATCTTCGAAAATTCGCTTTTCCTACCGATTCTAGGGAAAATTTTGCTCCGTGACCCTAAACATTCTACATTTTTGGAATCAGCAAGTCGGGATCTACATCCCTGAATTTTTTCAGAATTTTTTGACGACTTTTTTTTAAATGAAATTTTTCCAATGGTCCCCCTTCTTCAAATATCGGCCAATTTTTTACATTTTCGAATCTTAAATAAACACATTTTCTAATAGATTTCGAGCTCCAGAACTCACTTCGTGCCTCGTTTCGTTGATAAATGCAACCGTTTTTCCAGAATCGACTGTTGAAAGATCGCAATTTTCGGCAATTTTCAAAAATTCGCATTTCGTACTGTTTCTTTGGAAAATGTTGCTCCGTGACCATCAACATCCTACATTTGTGGAATCAGCATGTCGAGATCCCCAAAAGCCCAGTTGTTACGGCCGTGGCGCCATCTAGCGGTTTCTAGACACAATACTTGTTGACAGTTAGGCGGGTATAACTTTGTAACGTATTCTACCTTAATTTTTCAAGAAATTTATTTTTCCCGATGTGCTTAACACAATTTTTATATTATAGTTTAGGCATGAGCTGGATTTCGGGACGCCTTACGAAAAATGTGAATCCAGCCACGTCGATGCTCGACAGTCTGAAAGCTTCGATTCTGGGCCTGGGAAAAGCACACTGCGACGTCGTTTACCAAAACTGCGATCTGCGCCTACAAAAACAGGAAAGACGCAGAAGAAGAAAAAGAAATGTTGAAGGAAACCTCAATAAAAAACACCGATAAAAATGTCTGTTTGATTTAGCCGTTTCCTAGAGTTATTACTTATGCTACTGGTGGATAGGTGGCGCTTGAAAATCAATACGTTAAGAGAAAGTTTCCTTGGCGCATTAAACAGGCAAATATGTAGGGGCCGACTATAGATACAAATTCAACCGGACAAAATCGATGCTTGCAAAAACTACAAGTCAAACCATGTCACGTTCGCAGTGTTTTTGATTGCAAAAAATTAATCCTCCGATGTAGAGAAATTAAGTCTTAATTACAGCGCCCCCCAAAAATGCCGCCTCCGTTTTCTTGCCACACTCAAAAACGCGATTAGAGCACCCGTCGAAATATTTTTTGATTGACAAAAACAAGGTGCAAATATTTCGAGGAAGCTCTCCCTTTTCAAACCCGGCGTTCGCATTTCAAATTTAGTCATGATTTTCCCCTTGATATATGATTCGTCACGATCTTTCTTTTCGAATCTTTTAGCGCTTTGTCTGAAAATGGAGCACATCGTAAACCTGCTGCATTTCATCCCGTGTTGTTTTACTTCGGAAGCGAAATTTTGTTCATCTGTTTACCGACGCAACCGAACTGAAAACACATTAAAGGCGGAGAGCTAGAAACAAAAAGTTTGGCTTTCTGCTCACGGCGGTAGGTGTGTGTAATAGAGATAGGAAAGGTACACCGACCGTTTGCAATATTGATTGTGTATTTAAGCTTCTCGGGATTATAACTCCGATAACTTTTGGAGAATTTGCCCAAACAGGCCGGCGGAAAAAGAAACATCGGCGTTTTTCTTTCTTCTTGTTGATTTTTTTTGGTCTAAGGCAGCTGGTGGAACGTTCTAGTGGCTATTAGGTTTTTTGTGTTAATTTTAGCGTGGAATGACATAAAAACTGAGTACAAATGGAACACAATAAACGTTGTTGTACTAGATTCCTATTTTCATTAAAAATCTGCAAACTCTGGTTCAGTCATGTCAGATTAATTAATAACGAAATAAATTAACAAAATTAGTTGATTAATTTTTCTAAACAAGTTATTAAAAAATCTACATTTAAGTTATAGGTATTTAAAAAATTTATGTTTATTGTCAGAAAATCTGCCAATCTAAACGTGCTTACTGCGATTCTATGAGATTAGCAGAAAGAACTATAAAAATGCGAGCGCAGCGAGCACGTTTAGGTATTATTCAAAAATTATTTATTGGTGTCCCCGACAAGCTAAATTATTACGAAAAATGTCATTGTTATCTAAAAAAGTAAGTTTAAAGATTGTTTTTTTTACACTAAATTAATTACAAAACGAACAATTAGAATGCGAGCGCAGCGAGCACGTTCAGGTGTTATTAAAAAATAATTTTTCTACAAAAATTTACCATGTTGTGAGTAATTTGTTATGAAAAGAAGAACGTATATTAAAAAAGCAAAATAAATATAAGCCCCGCCCACCCACCCTGTCTCATCAATTGTGATGTTTTTTTAATCGTCGTTAGTCGGGGTCACAGCTTAATTGCAAAATGCTTATTTTTCTACAAGAATTTACCATGTGGAACATGTTTTAAGTTGTTAAAAGAAAACTATATATGTCAAGAAAAAAAGTCAAAAAAGTAGCCCCACCCACCCCCCTAATCTCAAACGTGATGAATTTTTTATTCGTTGTCATACCGAGGGGCAGAGCTTAACTGTAAAATCAATATTTCCAAATGAAAATTTATCAAATTCAATCTGTTTTTAAATATCTTGTGAAAAGAAGATTACTATCTACAGAAAAAAGGCTAAATTTAAGCCCCGCCTCTCCTGGCTCGCGACGAATAAGGAAAAAGCGTCAGAATTGAGACTAGGTGGGTGGGTGGGGCTTATGTTTTTAATATTTTTTTCTTAATACATATAGTCTTCTCTTGACAACAAAAAACTGAAAACATGTTTAAAATGATAAATTTTTTGACCCACACTTTTCTAAAGATTTATATATTTTATAGATATTTTTTGTTCGTTGTGATGAAAAGAAAACTGAGTTCACATATTAAGAAAAAAACAAACAAAATACAAACCGCGCCCACCCACCCTCGTCTCAAATGTGATGAATTTTTCATTCGTTGTCATACCGAGGGGCGGAGCTTAACTGTAAAATCAATATTTCCCAATGAAAATTTATCATATTCAATCTGTTTTTAAATATCTTGTGAAAAGAAGATTACTATCTAGAGAAAAAAGGCTAAACTGAAGTCCCGCCTCTCGTGGCTCGCGAGGAGTAAGGAAAAATCGTCACAATTGAGACAGGGTGGGTGGGTGGGGCTTATGTCTTTAACATTTTTTTCTTAATACAAATAGTCTTCTCTTCACAACAAAAAACTGAAAACATGTTTAAAATGATAAATTTTTTGACCCACACTTTTCTAAAAATTTACCTTTTTTAAGGATATTTTATGTTCTTTGTGAAGAAAAGAAAACTAAGTTCATATATTAAGAAAAAAACAAACAAAATACAAACCCCGCCCACCCACCCTCGTCTCAAATGTGATGAATTTTTCATTCGTTGTCATACCGAGGGGCAGAGCTTAACTGTAAAATCAATATTTCCAAATGAAAATTTATCAAATTCAATCTGTTTTTAAATATCTTGTGAAAAGAAGATTACTATCTACAGAAAAAAGGCTAAATTTAAGCCCCGCCTCTCCTGGCTCGCGACGAATAAGGAAAAAGCGTCAGAATTGAGACTAGGTGGGTGGGTGGGGCTTATGTTTTTAATATTTTTTTCTTAATACATATAGTCTTCTCTTGACAACAAAAAACTGAAAACATGTTTAAAATGATAAATTTTTTGACCCACACTTTTCTAAAGATTTATATATTTTATAGATATTTTTTGTTCGTTGTGATGAAAAGAAAACTGAGTTCACATATTAAGAAAAAAACAAACAAAATACAAACCGCGCCCACCCACCCTCGTCTCAAATGTGATGAATTTTTCATTCGTTGTCATACCGAGGGGCGGAGCTTAACTGTAAAATCAATATTTCCCAATGAAAATTTATCATATTCAATCTGTTTTTAAATATCTTGTGAAAAGAAGATTACTATCTAGAGAAAAAAGGCTAAACTGAAGTCCCGCCTCTCGTGGCTCGCGAGGAGTAAGGAAAAATCGTCACAATTGAGACAGGGTGGGTGGGTGGGGCTTATGTCTTTAACATTTTTTTCTTAATACAAATAGTCTTCTCTTCACAACAAAAAACTGAAAACATGTTTAAAATGATAAATTTTTTGACCCACACTTTTCTAAAAATTTACCTTTTTTAAGGATATTTTATGTTCTTTGTGAAGAAAAGAAAACTAAGTTCATATATTAAGAAAAAAACAAACAAAATACAAACCCCGCCCACCCACCCTCGTCTCAAATGTGATGAATTTTTCATTCGTTGTCATACCGAGGGGCAGAGCTTAACTGTAAAATCAATATTTCCAAATGAAAATTTATCAAATTCAATCTGTTTTTAAATATCTTGTGAAAAGAAGATTACTATCTACAGAAAAAAGGCTAAATTTAAGCCCCGCCTCTCCTGGCTCGCGACGAATAAGGAAAAAGCGTCAGAATTGAGACGGGGTGGGTGGGTGGGGCTTATGTTTTTAATATTTTTTTCTTAATACATATAAGCTTCTCTGCACAACAAAAAACTGAAAACATGTTCAAATGATAAATTTTTTGACCCACACTTTTCTAAAGATTTATATATTTTATAGATATTTTTTGTTCGTTGTGATGAAAAGAAAACTAAGTTCACATATTAAGAAAAAAACAAACAAAATACAAACGCCGCCCACCCACCCTCGTCTCAAATGTGATGAATTTTTCATTCGTTGTCATACCGAGGGGCGGAGCTTAACTGTAAAATCAATATTTCCCAATGAAAATTTATCATATTCAATCTGTTTTTAAATATCTTGTGAAAAGAAGATTACTATCTAGAGAAAAAAGGCTAAACTGAAGTCCCGCCTCTCGTGGCTCGCGAGGAATAAGGAAAAATCGTCACAATTGAGACAGGGTGGGTGGGTGGGGCTTATGTCTTTAACATTTTTTTCTTAATACAAATAGTCTTCTCTTCACAACAAAAAACTGAAAACATGTTTAAAATGATAAATTTTTTGACCCACACTTTTCTAAAAATTTACCTTTTTTAAGGATATTTTATGTTCTTTGTGAAGAAAAGAAAACTAAGTTCATATATTAAGAAAAAAACAAACAAAATACAAACCTCGCCCACCCACCCTCGTCTCAAATGTGATGAATTTTTCATTCGTTGTCATACCGAGGGGCAGAGCTTAACTGTAAAATCAATATTTCCAAATGAAAATTTATCAAATTCAATCTGTTTTTAAATATCTTGTGAAAAGAAGATTACTATCTACAGAAAAAAGGCTAAATTTAAGCCCCGCCTCTCCTGGCTCGCGACGAATAAGGAAAAAGCGTCAGAATTGAGACGGGGTGGGTGGGTGGGGCTTATGTTTTTAATATTTTTTTCTTAATACATATAAGCTTCTCTGCACAACAAAAAACTGAAAACATGTTCAAATGATAAATTTTTTGACCCACACTTTTCTAAAGATTTATATATTTTATAGATATTTTTTGTTCGTTGTGATGAAAAGAAAACTAAGTTCACATATTAAGAAAAAAACAAACAAAATACAAACCCCGCCCACCCACCCTCGTCTCAAATGTGATGAATTTTTCATTCGTTGTCATACCGAGGGGCGGAGCTTAACTGTAAAATCAATATTTCCCAATGAAAATTTATCATATTCAATCTGTTTTTAAATATCTTGTGAAAAGAAGATTACTATCTAGAGAAAAAAGGCTAAACTGAAGTCCCGCCTCTCGTGGCTCGCGAGGAATAAGGAAAAATCGTCACAATTGAGACAGGGTGGGTGGGTGGGGCTTATGTCTTTAACATTTTTTTCTTAATACAAATAGTCTTCTCTTCACAACAAAAAACTGAAAACATGTTTAAAATGATA